TATATATATGTATATATATATATTTACATCAGAACTGCTCAACTTTACCTTACAAGCTTCCAATTTAGGAAAATATACAGTACTTTTGCATATAATGGTATATTCCTTGTAGCCCCTGAGTCAAGTATAGAGGATTTAAATTAAAAAAAAAAAGGAAAAACAGCCATTAAAAGCACTTACAATTATACGTGAACTATTAGTATAAAAGTATTATTTCCCAGGAAGACCAGGATCAGAAACATGCCTATGAAGACTCAAGATTCCTACAGTGCTTAGTGAAGATTCTGGCAAGGAAGGGTGCCTTATCGGCTGGAGATAAGTTTTACAATGCCGTGGAGGACACTCTACAGACTGGTCATGTTCTTGATCTAACAAAGAGGCCAGGTTGTCTTCTGAGGCTGTGTTGAGATGCACTCCACTTGAGAGGGATTCTTTGGATTTAAGTTTTGATTTTTCAGGGTCTAGAAATTCAGGACACTGAAAAGGAGGAGAAGAAACAAGATGTTAATAATTAAATCAGTTGCTTCCAAGCTCTTGTTCTGCTCAAAATTAGCACATTCAGATGGCTGCTGGAAAACCGTATTTGAAAAGTAAGCAGTATACGGAAACATTTTTACATGGTACTGCATTTGATTTAATGTAATTGAATGCAATTCTGTTGATTAATTGTAGAAGCCTGGCCATCTTGTCCCCTCCTGAGACTTGCTTGTATGACTTCAAGATACACACATGAACAGCCCTGTCTCGAGGACTGAATCAGTCCCCAGTCTGAGAGTATGGAATTAAACTTTCTTGAATTTGCAGTTTTGTTTCAGAACATAACTCTAGAATTACAGAATTCTGAACATTGTAACCATTTGGATTCCAGTCTCAGCACACAGTTCTCCTTCACTTTTACAGTCAGAATTGGTGTGAAGTGTGCAGTGCACCTGATGATGTTTGCAGAGGGTGGCCCTATTTCTGTTCAGACCGAGGTATGTATGTATGATTTGTGCAGGTACACGCACTGTGGGTTTACACCTATGAAAACTACTGCTGCATGTTTGCTGCCGTGACAATCTTTGTGTGTGTGAACTGATGCCCTCTGGATGTGTTGGACTTACTGTGGCCATATGTGTTCCAGCATATGCATGAGGAATCTGATGCAGCCAAGCATCAGAACTTCTTCTCAGAAGAAGAAACTTCTTCTCAGTGAGGGTGACAGAGCACTGGAACAGGCTGCCCAGAGAGGTTGTGGAGTCTCCTTCTCTGGAGACATTCAAAACCCGCCTGGACGCCTTCCTGTGCAACCTCATCTGGGTGTTCCTGCTCCGGCAGGGGGATTGGACTAGATGATCTTTTGAGGTCCCTTCCAATCCCTAACGTTCTGTTATTCTGTGATTCTGTGTGATGCTGTGTGATGCTGGATTTACTAATTGTATGCTGCATGACTGATCTGGGATTTCTAGACATGCAGCAGCATGTTTGAAAATAATATGCCACATCTCTGCCCAAGCTCTTAAACTCCAGAAATCCCAAACAAATTTGGAAAATCATCATATTTTGCCTGAAGAGAACTGGAGGGAACTGGTGGGGGAACTACTGCACAAGCACAAGGCTATGCATTTCTTCTACCATAAGCTAAAAAGATTAGCAAATTTCTTTTGATCTTATCGGACATTTACATACCTGAGATGAAGGACTGAAACTTCTGTCTGTTTTAATTGATGCTGCAGGCTGAAGCTTTTGTATCACCTGGACTGCTGGCTGGTGATACTCTGCACCTGCAGTCACCATGCTATAGGCAGGTGGAATGAGCGTTGACTGCCTCTGCAGAAGCTGCAGGATGGTTTGGATATCAGCAGTCATTTGGGATTCAAGCCTAGGGAAATAACACAGAATCAGTTAACTCACGGTCAGGAATAGGTACATTTTAACATACTGATTACGGATTCACTCAAGAGGGACCTGCAGCTTATTGATAAAGCAAACTATTGCTTATGACATGACCATGTCTTAAATAGGAAAGACCAGAAGAGGGAGTCCTAAGCCCTTCTAAAGCTTGGTTGCTCTCTGATATGCAGAACTCTGCAGACTTGTCTCTGATCTGGTTGCTACAGTAAGAATGATTTCATTGCTGTCCCTTATGTTTGCAACAAAAAGTGACACGAAGGACCAGGTCTTTGGTTGAAATTAACTAAAATAAATGTACTCTCTTCATTGTAACTCGGTTGATTTGCACTGGCTAAGGATGGGACACTATTTCTGATGCACTGGACAATTAATTCTGACATTCCTTATGCTAATACAAACTTTTCTGGTTTTCCACAGTTAGAAAATTAAAGATGCTTTCAAGATCATTAAAAACCACCAAAAAAGCTCAAGTGTCCTTAATATGAAAATTTATTCAGACTTATTGAGGCCTCAGAATTAATGTCAACATTTCTGATGTTCAAATTCAGTAGCTTTTTTCCTCTTCTTTTCCTTTTTCGTAAATTTTTCTATATGACTTTTGAACACTTGAGCTGCTTATGTTGTTCATAATTACAATTCCATAGCACTGAAGTGATTTTCAGATGGTGTTGCCAAGATCCATGACAAACTCAGCAGTAAGTAACACCTATTGTGCCTCCCCAGCTGCTGGTAGGCTACGGAACATGCCATGACAGGCTGTAGGACAGACATACAGCCTTCTGTATTGCTACTCATCTTCTGACAGAGTAAACAGATCTGTGTCAGCAGCCTTTAATGTTGTGAATGTTACTACCTGGGCTCCCTAGAGCAGCAGAATTGATCCTGTGCTGGCAGAATTTTGCTTTCATGAGGTGCTTCACTGTTTGATACCACTTTTTATCCTGTTGGAGTTGTCCATTGCCTGTGTCATTTATTTATAAAAGCATCTATGAAATTACTCTGAAGGGTATGCCCAAAGGATACCATTTCTTCTTTTATCAGGAAAAAGTGGTTCTTTGACTTTAGGTCTCATAAAGGACAGCCCAAAGCCAGATGTTACAATCAGTCATGGCCTACTTGCCCTCTTGTTCAACTCAAGCATGATGCTGACACCACAGGGGAAAACACTGCAGCAGCAGCAGCAGCAGCAGCAGCAGCAGCAGCATGCCACCATCCAGAGACCTTCCGTTACTAAACCTGGGCCTTGACATCAAAGTGAATAAATGAGACTCAGCATTGGAGGACTTGAATCACGTTGGAGGACGATTCTCTTTGGCTGTGAATTAACTGTAAAATCACACCCTTCTTACTTTATTAGCACTTGATGGGAGATTCCCAGTACTTCAAATCAACAAGTACCTCTGGTAGTCTTTGTTAATCATCGTTGCTCATATAACTTCGCCCTCTTTTCTCCAAAATTTATAACAAGTCCATGTCATGCCATACCCAAGGCTGAAAAAACAGGAGAATCTTAGGCACTTGGCCTATGGCCTCCATGAAATTCCGATTTCTTAAAGAGGAGGAATAGAGATAGCTCTAGGGACATATTCCTCATATGGTGGCTTTCCGGATGTCCATACCCATTTAGTAATTCGAGTGTTATGCCAAGCCTCTAATTTGGCATGGAAAAGACACTTCTGGAAGAAGTGTCCCTGCTTTTTAGTCCAGCAGGTCAGATCAGACATAAGCAGGAAAGAATATTGTATTTTACATTCATAGGAGACCCAGCAAGGCCCAAAATCATGAAAGCATGAAAAGCTTTAATAACAGGTGAAGAGTTAAAGAACAAAATGATTTAATAAAATCCATAACAATTTAAATCTGCTTATATCAGCAACAACGATACTTTCTCACTCAAGAAAATACTGAGAACTTCCGTAAGAATTTGATAGAACTATGGGTAAATTTGAGATATAACTTCAGTTTCAAGAGCTGAAGATTTCAGGAGAAGAAATGTAACTGAAAGACACGCTGCTGATGGGGAACATGCAGCTGTTTAGCTATGTGTAAATGTCACATAGCTGTTACTTAGATTGCTTGACTTTACTGCAATTAGAAATTACAGCAATTTAGGCTTACACGTTAAAAATGTCTTTTTAATGTACTATATGAAAAATACAATAGTTTTGTTGGCTTATGGTAGATGAAGGAAGCAATATGCAGTTAACCTGGCTTTAAGCTGATTTCTGAAATACACAGCACAGGGTGCCAATGAAGAGCTACTGAAGTATAATTAGGCTGAGTGCATGTCATAGTATTTGTCATGGAAAAATATTGAAAGTAATGGAAATGTAGAGTGAAAATAAAAAAGCCACAGACCTGATCATAGGGCAATTTAAAATTAAGTGAAATTACATGGTAAATTATAGGGTAGGGTGGATCAAATTTCTGTAACCATGTTTTTAAGATGCTATAAGGTGTGCTGCTTAGCTGCCAGCAAAGAGTAGTATATAAGAGACCAAAAGAGAGAAGGAAGAGATGTGTTATTAAGCAAAGGTAATAATGTCTTCTGACAAAGAAAGCATCTGTTTTCTGTGTAAGTATTTTGCCTTTGCAAAATGTCTTTCTTAATACACAGACAGTTGCAAAATAAGTTAATGCATCAAGAAGGGAATTTGACTGCAATGCTTTTCTAAAGGATAGCAGTTGGTTTACTTTGGTTATCCAGGAAAGAAAAAGTACTTCAGATATTGAAGCTACTGAAAATTGCCATTTTGTAGACATGTAAATATCTAGGAACAGCATTTTGGACCAAGTGAGATTTAAATTTACTAAGTTTAGGTGCTTCAGTACAGCTTCTTGGTTAAAATGTGGCTTCCTAAACAGTCAGTCAAGGAGAAAGACTGTTCTGCAAGGCAACTCAGAGTAGCTAATGTGGGTACCTAGAAGTAAGTTGTGGCAATTAAGGCACGGACTTCACTTAACAGTACAAGCAAAGACCTTTATTATCTCTCAAACTCTGTATTTATGTGTTTCTTAACTGTCCACGCACAGGCAAAGCTGTTACCATTGGTTCAAACCCTGTGTTCACACAGCTGAACGCCCTCAGACTGGTTCAGGCAATGCAGCCACACAGCTGTGATTGGTGCAAGCAATGTAGCACACAGCACACCACACACTGACTTCAGTGGTTATCTTCCACAACGCTGTGTACTCCACAAGCCCTCCTGGCTCAAGGACAGAGCACTGACTCGTCAAGGTCAAAGTTGTAACTAAGCTGGAACTCGCCCATCCTCACAGTAAGTGACATGACGATTCTGGAAATGAATTAAAATTTTTCTATGCGTTCCCAGAATAGGTTTTTCCAAGAATCCGGAAGGCTGAACTTAGGTGAAATTTAGGCTCCTCAGCATACATCTGGACAACAAAGTGATATTCCCATCAAGTGTATTTTTGTACTTTTGAGCTTCTGAGGATCTGAATGCTTTTGGAAACTTTCTGCACAGATTCATTCCTCCTGTAGTGTCATTAATATCAGCTGTATTATGTACTCTGTCACACATACATTTTTCTGGTCATATATGTTTTTACCTGTTGAGTTGTTCTTGAAGTAAATCTAATCGATTCTCCACCTCCCCATATATAAAGTCACTTTCAGTTTCGCAGATCCCCCATGTAACATGGGGTAATGCTGACTGAATCGGAGAGTCCTGATAATCTTGGATGTTCTCCTGCTCCCAGTTTCTTTTATCAGTGATATCTGATGAAAAACAAAACGTATACAAGTACAGGTTTATATACATGCTGTTAGAGCCCCTTAAGCATCCCACTTACTCGTGTTTCTCAAAACTTTGAAAGTCAAATCAGTACAATGGCATCAAGCCTTTGTTACTTTGAGTGAATCTGTTGTCACACAGACAGTAAAAAATTGCTCAGTACCACTCAGATTGTCCTCTGCTGTGATAAAAAATGGCTTTTAAAATTTTAACACCCCATTAGGGTTGTATTTGTAATTATTTAACTAGATAAAGTTATAGAGTGTATTAAAAGTTCTTACTGCGTTCATGCTGCTGCTTCAACATACAGCTGGACAAAATCCTAGACTGCTTATAAGGCATCAGCCTCTATTGTATGAGCAGTTGGATTTGAATCCCACATTCCCCAGTAGTCCCTGAATGGTTTGCTCAGAGCTTCTCCTAACACCTCTCTTGGCTCTGCATGCTGATAACTCAGCATAGGTTACATTCATTTCACACTTGTGAAATTTTTCTAAGCAACCATAGCAGCCAGAGCCATGTTTCAAAGAAAAGAGAAGAAAACACAGTGTGGGTGACATGTGAGAGGCTTGTCCAAATGTTGTTAGCTAATCCTTTTCAAACACATCTTTGAGCCGTGTTGCTCTAAGTAAAGAAAAAAAAAATCCTGCTCGTATTTAGTATTTCAAGCTGATTCAGCCAGGAAGGGGAGCTCTCACTACGTGACTCCAAGTGGAGGAGGCGACTTGCTTCTCTTTTTTATCTTAGAAAGGCGCTTACTGCATTATCTGATCTTTAGTTAGCAGGTGGTGGAAGATTTCCTGGAGCTGTAAAGAGTGTTTGAGTTTCACATGACATGCCTTGTAACAGATTTTATGGTCTGAGCAGGAGGAAGGGGAAAGAGATTTCATCTTGGCTACACAGAAACCTGCTCAGTTCCTCAGCCACTTAGGCCAAGAGAAGGAAAGAGGAAAACAGTGTCAGAGAAGCATGGTTTTAGCAGGCACACATGGCACAGTTTGCAGTGTCAAAGGAACTTGGAAAACTCTCAGCAAAGTGAAGGGAAAAGACTATGACAAATTCAGGAGTAAAATTTTAAACTACGGGTGTGGATGCAACGGATGCTGTAAATGCAGTAGATTTACCTTTAAGCAGTGAATTTCAGGAGTAGAAACTAAAAATATAGGTCATACATTTCACTGCTTTTTAATGTCCTGTAAAAACCAAGTTGTTTATCGTTTTGCACAATAAATAATTCAGTGAAATCGCATATTTTTCAACGCCATGGATTATACCAGGGAAATCACAGCTGGTTTTTTGTTCCAGAATATGTATTTGTAGACTATTACAATAAACAATTAATTTGTGAGAAAGCAAATGAATTGACACTCAAATTATAAAGTAAGTTCACATGCTATGAGATATGTTCTAAGCATCTTTTCAGGTACTTCCACATACACCTGTATCCCCAGAAAAGCCCAACAGCAGTTGCAACTTTATAACCAACTACGGTCTTCCAGGGCTTGAAGAATCCTAGACTGAGAATGAAATCAATAAATCTGTAACTTGGTCCACTTGAACAATTCAAGAATCAATCTTATGGCTCAAATAATGACCAAGTGGAAATAGAAAACAGCATTTTTCCGCAATATATAAATTAGCAGCTACAGAAAATTATCAGGTCTTCTCAAAAGAGCCATGTGTTTTTTTAACAGTTGCATTTTAGGATTATGAGAGAGAAGTTTATGCAGTTTCTGCCCACATTATCCAATACATTATTAATAGCTTTTCCATTCATCAACAGTAATGACTGAAGCTTAAGACAAAAGATAAAGAAAGATTAAGATAAAGATATCTAAGATATCACAGTGGTAATAAATTGTCGTAGCTTTATATAAGTGCATTTCTATCCAAGATTCATAAGGTATCGTAATATGTGTGGATTATGAACATACATGCATACAAGAAAAGTTTATTTCAAAATTTCATTATGTGTATAACTAATTTTATGGTAAGTTATAATCTGTCTCTAATTCATAGCAGGAGTAAGAATTTAGTTTACAACATATCTCAATCAAATCTGATCTTATTTTATTGACCTTGAAGTTTTTATGAAAGTTGCAAGCAAGGTAATGAGCTTTCATACCCATTACCAGAAGTGCTAGATTACAAAGCGGAAAAAAGAATGTGGTCTTAATCAAAATATGTAACCTTTAGACATGCTAAATTTAGCTCAAATAAAATCTGCAATAGGTTGCCTTGGAAAACGTTGCTATAGCTGCAAGGACATATTTCTGGCTATTGGTAGGGGAAAGGTAAGCTTTCAAATTGCAGTATGTATGCAACAAGTTTATGTTGTGCAGGTGTATGTAGCCCTAACATGAGGACAACAAACGTCACACATTCATATTTTTAAAATCTAAAATATACATTGTTTGGCCTGATTAATTATTAGGTTCACTTAAAACTATAGTTTAAAGCCTAAGGTTTATTGAATGATGGTTAAATTGTCTCAACAGAAGACAACCTGCTGGGGAAAAAAGCATTAAACAGTAAACATATAATTCCTCCCTTCAGACTGAAAGAATTACACACAAACTTTCAGCAATATTAAAATTGTATATTAATCCAGAGCTTTTCATTATTCTCCCTTTGCATCAGTGAGAAAATAAATTTTAGTATATTAGATGTAATTTTAATTATGTGATTTAACTCTGTGTAAAATTAACTGATATCGCTTAATAGTTTTTGATCATTTGTCATACACAAAATACCAAATCTTTGTTCTTGTGTTTTACTTATGGAAGTGTTGTGGTTTAGGGCTGGGCCCTGAGACCAAACTCAGCAGCAGTGGGAGCTGATGCAGAAACACAAATCAGGATCAGAGGCAGACGAACCAGCAGGGTCTGCTCAGGCCTCGGCCTCTGCAGGATTGAGATGGACGGAAGGGTCTGAGATGGAAGAGCTCCAAGATGGAAGAAGGGTTCGAGACCCTCGTGATCCCTCGGCTTTATACCAAGTATGACGTGTGTGGGATGGAATACCTCGTTGGTCAGTTTTGGGTCTGCTTCCCCTCCCATAGGCACAGACACAGCACCCATGGTGAGACAACGGACCTTGAGCTTATCTTCTAGCAGCACTGTCTGGGAAAACAGAGCCTTTAGTTTCAGCAAGTTCAGCCATTTAAAAGAGACTGAGCTGAAAAGTAAAATCACTAAATAGAAAATTAGTTCTGTTTAGCTCAAACCAGGACAGGAAGTCGGAATTTTCTCTCTGTGTTATAATGACACTTTGCTTTGGGTGCAGTTTTCATCCATGGGCACTCAGTGAAGTCCAGTACCAGTTAATTTTCCTAAGGCAGTTGGAGGTTCTGTAATCCAGTCCCACAGCCAGTGCATTAAACTACATTAATTCTCCTGAGAAAGAATGATTTTTCATCTAAAATATTTTTTCTTGTTAACCTTTCTGGTAACACAAAAGTAAATATTATGTAAAAGAATCAAGCATTCAGAAAATGATTTTTGATAATTAGACTGAAAAAGATGTCCACTCAAACTTTACAGAACAGCATCAGCTAAATTACCTTTGCAAGAATTGCTTCTTTTGTCAATAAGAATTTCTTCTGTGGTGTGAACCATTTCTTCAAAGTCCACCGCTGTGCTTTTCTCTGTTACCGATGGGTAATCAGCTATCCCTGAGAACAGGGGCTTTTGCTCATCTTCAATGGAGGACACAAAAGATGATGACCCACTTTTTTTCTCCTCGAAGTGTTTCTTAACAGATTGATAGTATCTGGTGGTGTCCTCTGAGGGTTCAGGATCACTCTGATCATTCTCTTTAAAGTAATCTGTTAAATAGAAGTAATTGTGTACAATAATACAGTTCATGAAATGGTGTTCTAGTATTCTGGTCTGAAGATGCGGGTGATTATTATATCAGCTAGGAAGTTCACTGTCTATTAGAATAAATAACTTTAAAGCCTTTTTTATGATCAGTAGAGATTTATATTTCTTTTCAAGTCCTAGAATCACAGAATCACAAAATGGTAGGGGCTGGAAGGAACCTCTGGAGATCATCTAGTCCAAGCCCCCTGCTGAAGCAGGTTCATGTACAGCAGATTGCACAGGATAGCATCCAGGCAGGTTTTGAATATCTCCAGAGGAGACTCCACAACCTCTCTGCGCAGCCTGTGCCAGTGCTCTGTCACCCTCAAAGTAAAGACATTTTTCCTCATGTTGAGCCTCAACTTCCTGTGTTCCAGTTTGTACCCACTCTCCCTTGTCCTGTTGCTGAACACCACTGAAAAGAGTCTGGCCCCTTCCTCTTGACACCTGTCCTTTAGATATTTAAAAGCATTGATAAGATCCCTTGTCTGTCTTCTCCAGGCTAAACAGACCCAAGTGTCTCAGCCTTTCCTCATAAGAGAGGTGCTCCAGTCCCCTAATCTTCGTTGCCCTCTGCTGGACTCTCTCCAGTAGTTCCTTGTCTTGAACTGAGGAGCCCAGAACTGGACACAGTATTCCAGATGTGGCCTCACCAGGGCAGAGGGGGAGGATAACCTCCCTCAACCTGCTGACCAAATTCTTCTTAATGCACCCCAGGATACCACTGGCCTTCTTTGGCCACAAGCCACATTGGTGGCTCATGGTTAACTTGTTGTCCATCTTCTGTCCTTCTCCGCAAGGCTGCTTCCCAGCAGGTCACCCCCTAACCTGTACTGGTGCATGGGATTATTCCTCCCTAGGTGCAGGACTCTGCATTTGCCTTTGCTGAGCTTTGTTAGGTTCCTCTCTGGCCAGCTCTCCAGTCTGTGGAGATCTCACTGAACAGCAGCACAGCCTTCTGGTGTATCAGCCACTCCTCCCAGTTGCACAGAAGATATTTGGATGTATATAGTAAGGATTCATAGTCCCTAAACCATAAGTTATTATGCAAAAAAAGTTGCTTATATCAAAACAACAAAGGTTTCATCTAACACAGTCCTTCTGTTTACTCCCTGTGTTTTCTAGGTGAGAATGAGATTTGAGAAAGCCTTATAGTCCAAAGGTTTTTTTTTTAAATATTTCATTCCCTTTTCCAATTTCTCACATTCTTGGACATTTATCACAGTCTTGGCAGGGTAACAGTCATGGATGTCAGACTCAGTATCAGAACTGCTCATTTAAGTTATGCCCACATAAAAGCATCTTTTATTCTTTTTCCAGAAAAGCAAATGTATTAATCAACTACTCAACCTCAAAATATCTGGGCCCACCTAAATAGAGAGCATATTTCTCCATGTTCATTATTGTCAAACCTATGTTTAGGATTGATATGGCAGAGAGAGAAACCTATCATACCTTTCATACCTATTGGTGTGAAAAGAAGGGAGTTCCTTGTCTGTCTTTGTGGAACCATCTTAAAACAACTTTCCAAAGCAGCCCACATTCCTTAGCCTTTAGAATTAATTGCAATTCTCTGAAAATCCAATCTTTTGAATAAGAAAAGTATCACATGCTGTGATATATATGGTAGCAGAGTACCAATCGAGAATAAATCTTTCATTCATCATATTCAGGGTTTGTAGTGAGGAACAGCAGATTCAGTTCTCTTAAGAAGTGTCAAATAAAACTAGATTTAAAGCAGATGCCTTTAAAAACACATTGTAAAAATTAAATAACATTTAAACCCAGGAACAATCATTTGTGAATATAGAGAACTCCCGATCTCTTTTGGGCATAAACTTAAAGCTAATTTCCAATTCAATATTTGGTCCTACCTATTTTTAACTAAATGTCAAGATAATTCCAGTTCTGCTATTTATTTAAAACACATTTTTGCAGGGTAGTCTCAACAACATATAAATACTGTAACTAGTTTGCATTAACATCCTGGGGAGACAGCATGATTTCCCATCTGCTTTGTGCTAATTACTAATCAACATAGCTTTGTAATGTCTGTAGTCTTTACAGCCTGCAGCAGTGGTTAATACAACTTTTCTTATATTCCCCAGGTTTCTTCTCTGTTTTCTGGTCACTTTAAGGAAATGAAACTGTGACCTCATCTAATTCTCTATCTGCACATAAAGAGAATGCAATATCTGTACAGAGCACACTGCAGGAGTCCAGACATCTGTAAGAGGTGAGGGCAGGTAATGGTGAACAAAACAAAACCAATACTAAAGGAAGCCTCCTATAACTGTTATTGTCTAGAGTCTCCAAGGGCAATTAACACAGACTAGGTCTGAAGTTACTTTGTTTGGCTTCTGTTAAACAGGCTATAAGTGATACTGGTGATACTCTGATACTGAGAAGGTATTAGCACGAATGCAAATAGGCTAGTAGTGTGAAGATGCTCAGACTAGAGATTCGAGTGCCATATTCTCTGCAATCCCATCTCCAAAACAGTACAAAACCAAAATAAATCTTTGTAAGACAATTCTGTTTCTCGTGGCATTTCTTCTGGGAATAGATCGTGTTTCAGATTACTTACAGCTTGGCTGACTTCAACCTGTGAAAAAGACCTTCTAATGAAAGCTTGAAATTGCCATTTTTAGGCTAATTTTTTATGTCCATAGGATTTTGTGCACTAATGGTAGCTGTAATGAGCACCCTGTGGAATATAAATCAATCAGTGGACTGAATTTAAGAGGAGGTCATTGAGACTCTAATAAAAAGATTGTATAGCAGCTGAAGTATAGCAGACTGTCTTATTTGTCATATTCATAGAATACTAAAATATCTGGAAACAAGAAGTCAGATTCTGCTAACAATTACACTGCTGTAAAACCAGGGTAATTCAATTGCTAACCTGCATTTAGCCTCCATCTATACCAGAACAACAGCACATATTCTTTTCCAAATGCTGACCAGGTGTAATGAACTCACTGCCATTAGAAGGAAAGCAGAAATCTGCTGATTGTAGGGTCCTGCCTACTGAAATCAGGGAAGATTTGTTAATCAGCTGATCTATTTCAAAATATGCAGCTTTGGCTTTGCTGCTGTTGCTTTATTTGCTAGCCATCTGTCTGCATTCACATTGTTTTCCTCTTATTTAATGCTAAAGATTCTTCTGTCTGGAGAATAATCCTGTGATATTCTACACTTAGAATAGGAATTAAAATGGAAATTGTATTTTTTCGTTTGGCTTTTCAGGACCTGATGATGGCACAAGCTCTGTATCTCAGCTCAACAGCTTAAAAGTGCCTCTGTAGCTCAGAGGAAACATGTTCTGAATGGGGTTCTGAATGGTTTCTAGAGAGACTTTATTCAGAGAGTGAATTTCTCAAATTTTTCATTCCTTTTCTAATGAAATCTGGTCATTGATTTAGAATTCATTTTCCAGAAAAGAAGAGTTTTCTATCTGTGTATGTATGGATAAGCTCACTCAAGGTTTCAGAAGATTTCTCCTTTCTCTTCTGTTTCCAAAATAAATGTAATCACTACAAAAAACCCCATTTTCTAGTGCTTCCTCCTTCCTTTTCCAGCAAGACAAGTTTCACTCTCTAGTTCTGATTGCTGGAAAATATGTTTTGCTGAAGATTATTCTTTTGTAACTTCCTGATGTACTAAACATGTACAGACATAATTTACCCTCTTTATGGGACTTATTTTAGCCTGTTATATGATTTGGGTGCCGGCCAAGTTTACAGGCAATGTCCTCTGACATTTGCTGCCTGGAAATTCCAAAAGGTTTGTGTCCTGCTTTTAGCACTTGCACTGGCAAAAGAAGGGAAGAAATGGGGTTGTCACAAGGGCAATGAGCTATAGCTATGACATAGACTCACAGGAATACTGGCATAAAATCCAGCTTGGTGGGATGGTTACCAGAGATCAAACAAATGTACTTTATGTGCCATAGGGAGACTATAATATTGAAGTTTTTCATTATTCAGACAGTGGCAGACTGTATGTTCTAGACATATTTTTTATTAATGTGTTACTCTGCTGAAAACAGTATTGGTGAAAGTGTCAGTGGACCAGCATCGCTTAATATTACTGTAATTTCATTAACTGGAATTAATCATACTTAATCAGGCTAGCTATGTAGCCTAGTGGTTCAGAAGGTGGCAAATTTTTACTCAATTTTTCAGCCATTCAATAAAAAGTCCTATAATATGCCTAGGAAAAGTCAATTTTGTGCAGGAAATGAGGTGAATGACTTCCTCACTCTCGCAGAAAGAGATTTCTATCCAAAACCATAAACCAGATAATCCTTGTCATTATCATCACAGCTTCGCTTTCCTTTGAAAAACATTACTATTATTTTACACAACACCAAATATGCTCTTTGGTAAGGAGAAATGCACACTGTGACTTGGAAGGAGGGACGGTTGATTGTTCAGAAGGTCTGTGTATCTTCAGGTACCCAGCAAGTATTTTGGTTCGACTGTTATTAGCAATTTCTGTGATATTCACAAATATTCCTGTAGGGATCAATCTGTCTTTCCTACATATGAAAAAAATACTGGCTAGTCACCATATTTGCTATCTGTTCCTTAATTTAATTTATAATGAAGGGTGATTCCAGAGAACTCTACTCAAGTTGTATGCAGGCTAGACTACTCTATATATATGGTCTTAATTTCTTTTCCTTGCTGTTCGCTTCATACTTAGTTGACTGTGACTGGTATGGAGTACATTGCTGAGCACCTTCTGATAGATTAGGTAATGAAAGAAAATCAGAAAGGAGGAAGCTGACTCTTTGTGAACGTGAAAATGAAAAGCAGTGTCTGGGCATTCAGAAGGTAACTGTTGCTATGTTGAAGATACAAATTTTTGCCATATTTTTCATATATCTCATAATAAAATAAAAAGTTAGAGTAATTTCTAATCCTTTAAGATATATTATTATGACAATTAAATCCAC